TTCAGGCTAGTGCAGAGTGCTTCAAAAGATGCTGGCATTCTCATTAGTGGAGTTCTCAGTATTGGGAAAATCTGAGTCTTCTGAGATCTCATGGGAAACATGGTACTGGTCACCCTTGATAAGTCTATGGCTCATTTTTCTAAGTTCTTAGACACTTCCCTCTATAGATATCATGGTATTTCTGGTATCTCATCTTCATGAGAGGAACTTCAGCATAGATCTTAAATTCCAAATTCTAGAACCAGCATAACTGACTGGAATCTCAGTCTTACTACTTAGAAGCTACACGTGAAAGACTGTTGAATTTTTAAATGTTTCCTTTTTCTCTTTTATAAATAGGGTGATAATGCATATTTCACAGGTGTATTTCTTTGGATTAAATAATTTAATATATAAAAGCATTTTAAACAGTGATTGGTTCCTAGTAAAAGCTACATAAAAGCCAGCTAGTGTTGTTATTGAGAATTATCCCTATTATTTAAGTTTATCCTTAATCTAAATTTTGGCAGCCAGGAAGCAGATGAATGATACTACTCCCAATTTCTCAAGTGATCACATGCAATCTAAAATTCTGGTAGTTGCCTCTAAATCAGTAGCTTCATCCTGATCTAAAGCTAAGATTTTGCTTCTTTGGTATAGAATTGTCAGACTCTCTCTCTACATCTATTCCCATGAATTTTGCTCTTAAACATTAGCAGAATTCTCACAAGTCCTGTGATGGGCAAGTCTTTGTCTTTTTTAGGGTTTCTCTTTTTAGTTGCCCTCTTGAGTCACGGAAGAGTCAGACTGTGTAGTGAGAGAAATGAGGGAAGATTTGGCATAGGATATGAGGTTTCAATGCAATATCCTCAGGCCAGGTGTTCATAAGGCCTAATCCAGGCTGGTGGGAGCCTCATCACTGCCTCCATTTGGCAAGAAAAACCAACACAGGGAGTGCATCAGATCATTTAAATTCTCCCATGTTTCTCTATGCATTCTTTAGGGTCCTGCTCTGTTCCAGTCAATGTCCTTGTTTTCAAATAAGAGTGGTTAGGCTGTGAATTTTAGTGACTTAGTAATTTGGCTACTCATAAGATCAAATCTTTTTTTTTTTCATTTTCACTTATCTCGGTTTCTAGTTGCTAGAGAAAAGATTTGTTATTATCTTGGTTGTCTCTTGTCTGTTTTGGAAATCATAAAGGTCTATAGGACTTTTGAACTGAGAATTTAACAATTTGAACTAAGAAATTAGAGTTAGAAGTCTTTTATTGTTTTTCTTTAAGGTGTCCAATGCATGCTCTTTCTATATATATTATATATATTTATAAAATTTTTATATAGTTCAAGATGTATATTTAATAAAAATATATTTAAGGAAACTTTAGATTATATGTGTGTGTATAACATATTTGTTTGTTTGTTTTCCCAAAGTGTAATTTCAGTGGGTCCTTTATTCTAGGTAATAATTAAAAAAAATATATTTATTACTGTATACGATAGGCTGTATGCATCAAAACCCTTTAAACCTGCTGAGTTTTCCACTTCTGCCCATCCTTGAGTTTTTGTTTCCCAGAGAGTTTGTACTTTTTGAGTGTAATATCTTGTCTCATTCAGGTTACCTAACTACATGTGACAGAAACTTACTCTGACTCATGGAGAAAGGAATTTATTTAAAGGAAAGATAGTCATACTCAGAAGAATATGCATCTTCCTCTGAGAAGAAAATATGCATATTCTTCTGAGTATGACTCTCCATCTGAATTCTCAAATTATGTTATAGAACTGGTTAAATGTCAACACTGCTATCTCTACTGCTGCATACCTGGCATTTCAGCTGACACTATCAGTACTGTGGCATCTGTCACTGGATACTATTGCAGCATTGTTCTGAAATCTTAATCAACTACCTTTACAATCAGAGGCTTCACTTTCCACCAAAATTACACAGTGGGTAATACCAAACCATTAAGAATAGTTCAGGTTCTGGCCAGGAAAAAATATTCTTTTGTTTATTTTGTAGAGACCTGCTCCAAAAATGAACTATCTGAGTTCCAGTTTTATAAAGTTTACATACACAAGTACTATTTTATTGGTCTAATTTTCATGCTATCAGTTAAGAAATGTGAATTATGTATAGTACCTTAAGTATCCCCTTTAGTTTATAGTATATTCTTCATAGTGATTACTGCCCTGATCTTCATATATTCTTTTTTTTTTTTAAAGATTTATTTATTTATTCATACAGAACTGGGGTACAGGCCAGAGATGCAGAGGGTGAGAGGATTCACCAGAGACAGAGTGGGGAGCAGAACAGGCAGATTGACGAAGTACACTGCTGAGGGAAGCAGTGGGCTGGTCAGGAGAGGTCTGGCTCGCCATGTGGTCTCCTCCGGCAGGCGGGAATCGAACTCATGCGGAAGTGGCTTCAGATTCTCAGTGCTGTGCTTTATCCCGCTGCGCCACCAGGGAGGGCCTCTTCATATATTCTTGATTTCCTTGATGGGCAGTATCATGTAGTAGAAAGTTCTGGGCTTTGGATTAAGGAAAACTTTAGATTCAAACCTGAGTCTGGCCCTGATCCACAGAACTTGGTGCCATATTTCTTAAGCTGAGCGTAATAAAAGCTGCTCCTTGAATTGGTATGAGGATTAATATAACTCACATAGAGCTTAATAAGAGATGCTGAGAAATAGTGGGCTTGATTGTGTGGACAGAGTTGTGTTATCAAAATTTAAAGGTGGATCATTAAAATATGGTAAAACATGTGGAAAGAAGTAGAACAGAAGTATCAATTCTAGGGTAACTGTTGCATTATCATAAAGTAGTTCCAAATATCCCTCTTCTTTTGACCCAATACCTATTATTCATAAGTGGTGGGAATTCAAAAAATAAATTACTGTTGACCAGGAAGTCATGACTTTCACCATTAGCTAACAGTGGGGTTTCACTGTTGAAATCCCACTGTATTATTTTCTTTTTTTCTAAGTTTGCAATGTATTTTTGAGAGGACATAATAAACATACAACTACAGCTTAGTAAGCATCTTTATGTTCATAAACAGTCAGTGTCCTTTAGTAATATTATTAAGAATTATAAGCTAAACTTCTTAAGAAAAAATAATTAAAATAGAATTAATTTTCTCCAAAAGAATTGCAAGTGTATTATTTATTCAAATAAGCAATTATATAATAAAACTATTTTAGTACATAATGTGTAAATATGACTATTATACTCTTATCCTTCATTTGTCTAAATGCATATATTTTATATTTAAAAATTCCTGAAAAAAAATAATTGTCTGCAATATCCTTTATAACAAAATTTAAATGATTGATGTCTTTCAGAAATATCTAGGCAACCAGGAGGTAAAATTACTAACCACCTGGGGAGAACTCGGCTTCAAAGCAAATCTATTATGATTGGAATCTGTACCATCAATATCCCAGCACATCAGGTTCTGGCCACCAGGTGTCACCATTCTTCTATTTCCCTCCTAGCACCCAAAGAGAGTTTGTAACCTTTTCATCCTAGGGAATGAGGAAAATAGCATTCCCAACAATCTTGGGGTTCCACCTAGGGCCTTATTAGCAGGAATCATCTCCTGCCCTTGCAGAATTCCTTGTGGCTTTTTGAACATCACCTGGACTGTTTCTAGCTAAGATTAGTGACCAATAATTTGGAGCTCATGTGGTCAGGAAACATTACAGCTATTTCCTTCAGCTTGAAGTTAAAAGTAGGACTCACCTGGTGTGACCAGAGCCTAGGGCAGGCTCAGTGCATGGAAGGGGATGAGGCATGTTCCTCCAAACCCCTGAGTTCCCAGACTTCCCTAACCAGCTGGCTGGATCCCAGAACTCATAAAATGCAGGAGTTGGACTCAATCTTTTTTAGTATCTAAATACTCCAAGATCCTCAGCTTTTAAATGTCTCTGCTGGGGCATGCTGGTGGCTGGGTGGAATGATTTAAACTCAGGGAAGAAGATCCCAGGGAGAACAGTGAAATGGGGTGTGTGTGGGGGGGGCGGGGGACGGCGGGGAAGCAGGGCAACTGAGTGAAGAAATCCTGTTGGGAAGGTCAAAGAAAGTTGAACAGAAAACCTCATTACAGTAACCTGTATAGTAACTAGTTCTTGGGGCTGGACCTGGCTGCAGTTAGAACCTTGTCATTTCACCCATATGCAAGCCACCAGACCCACTCTATTCCAGATAACACTTAACAATGATCTATAATGTTTACTGATGTAAATGCTACGCCTTCTCTCTCCCGGGCTTAGTTGGATTTAATATGCCATGTCAGCCAGCGTTCTTGTGGTGCCTTCAGGGAAGAAGATGTGTTTTATTTCTTTTTGAATTTACAGTGTTCAGCTAGCCCATCTAGAGAGTTCATAAAATCTGAAGGTGGGAGATGGGCAGAGAAGCAGGAATGGAATTTATTCATTAAGTACCTGCTATGTGTCAGGTATTGCTAAGTCCTTACATATATTTTACTTCATCTTCTAAAATAACTTTATGAAAGAAACAGCATTTATTTCATGCATAAAGAAACTGAATTCAAATGGTTAAGTGGCTTGCCCAAGGTCACGAAACCCAAATGACAAGAAACTCAGACTGTTTAATATAACTCATTCTATGAAGAGGAAACTGGGGTTCAGAGAATTTATTAAAGTTACCTGCCTACATGATTGAGCTCATAGCCTCCCCCATCACTGGGCTTTCATTGCTGGAAGGAGCCTGGTCTTTAGAGGCCCGGAATGCACCACTCTAGAGGATGCATCGTCATATCAACATTTTCACACAGCCCCTGACCTTGCTAGAATATTATTTATGGCAGCGATGAAACTGTCTTCGTCGCTCCTTTCTCTCCTTGGGCAGCAGAATAGAGAGGTTTTCAGAAGTCCTCTCCGACAGGGTTGAGAGTTTGCAGACGGCCCCTGAGAGGTTGGGGCGTTCCGAATTGGCTGAGCGCTCCGCCAGGGGTGGGCGGGGAGTTTGCCGAACGTCCCTGGCCAGAATCCCTGTCTTCAAGAATCTCTAGCCCAGAGCCCACAGAAGTTGGAGTGGCTGGGTAGGGGAGAGCAGAAAGAAATTGCAGACAAACCCCTGCCCTGGCCGGCTGAGACCCGAAGAAGCGTCTCCACTGCGTCCGGACCGAGTGTGGACGCGCCGCGCGCGGCCCCGCCAAGGCTAGGAGTTTGCAGACCGTCCCTGCCGTGGCCCGCTCGGCGGCGGCCCTGCGGCTCCGGCTGCAGCCGCGGCGGCCCCGGGCGCGTTGGAGTCCAGGTAGCCGCGCCGCAGGCTCTGGGCTCTGCACCCCGGCTTCCCGCCGCCTCTCGGGCCCCTCGGGGACGGCGCCTGGCGTGTGCTCCCGGCTGCTGCTGCTGCCCCAAAAGGAGGTGAGAGACGCTGGGTCGGGTCGGGTCGGTAGCTTACAGCTCGCCATCCCCGCGGGGAGGTTTTCTGGGCGCTGGGAGCGGGCTGGGAGAGTCAGCATCCAGGGTGGCGTGGCCAGGGGCTTCCGCCCGTAGCCCCATCGGCCAGCTGTGGGTGTCCCTGCCGTGGCCGCTCTGCTGGACCCGAGAGTGCAGGTGGGGGCGCGCCTCGATGCGCCCACCTGCCCGGGGCAACCTCTTCTCCTGGGTGGCTGCAGCTCCCCAGGGCCAGTGGAAAGGAGGCTTGTGGGCTTTTTAAAGGACTGTTTAGGGGAGGCTTTGGTAGTGAGAGCTGGAGGCGAGCAGCGGGGGACCACTGATGGGCGTTCGGAGCGCGGAAAAGCCTGGTGGGATCATGCAGCGGGTTTGGGCCGGGCTGGGGTCCTCGGGATCTGGACGCTCTGGCGGACTCAGCCACGGGCCAGTGGAGAGGAAGTGGAAGGGAGGCTGGCCCCGTGCCCCAGGGGAGGATGGATGCGGCGGGCTGGCGCTCCTGTTCTGGGATTAGGGAGGCCCGGGTATCTTCCCCACCCCTTGGGGGCGGCCTCTGGTCGGCGATTCCGCCCGCGTGTTGAGCTGGGGTGCCGGGCCGGAGAGGCTGCGGGAGCTCAGAGCCCACACCCGCGCACACACTCCCGAGAGCATGCTCAGTGCGGCCCTGGGAACTTCCTGCCGAGTCGAGAGCTGCTCGGGCCCCCTCCCGGCCTTCTCCTTCCTCGGCTCTCAAAGTTGGGGGCGGTGGGGCGCGCGAGTGGTGGGTACGGAGCCCTCCTGTCATTCTTTCGCGCCCTGAGCCCCTGCTTCTCCTGTAGCCGGTTCTTTAGCCTGAACCCACCCGCCGCCCCCGCTCTGGGAACCGGGGCGTGGATGTCATATCCAGTTCCAGAGGCCACCTCAGAGGGATTGGGTGGTCAGAGGCCTGGCGGAGTGACTGCTACCAGGTGGACCAACCCGCTGTGCGCTCGGTGCGCGCGCGGATCCCGCATGGGAAGCAGACTAGATAGAAGGGGGTGTGTGAACCTAGGAACGTTGGTGCACACACTCGCTGTCACACACAAAGCCGTGGTTTCGTAGCCATGCGAAAGAGGGAAGAGGTGGCGCTTGCATTGTCCAGCCGCGTCTGGAGCAACAACAGGGTCCCTAGCGCCTGAGATCTGTGGGAATCAGGCACTGCATGTGGTTTTCTGAGATAACCGAGTGAAGTACTAGGTTCCTATATTCTAGGCACTGACTTCTTGGCCGGACCAAAGACGCGTTCCCTGCCTGCTCTTTTTTCTGGCTGCCCACTTAGGAAAGGTTGAGTATTTCTGGGCTAGTGGAGCTGGGGAAAGGCAGGGTGAGTTCTGTCTGGGTAGACAGCATTGCTCCTGTAAACACACTCAGGATCTTCTGAAGAAAGGCAAGGGAGAGCTGGTGTTCCCCACTCCTCCATTCATTGTCTGGATGCGAACAACTTCATTGGTTTCTACTCAGAGAGACTCCTCAACATGTCACCCACATTCTGAACCTTGATTCAGGATTAGGAATTCTGGGTCATTGATTGGAGAAAATCATAAAGCATGTTTTGTGCTGGGCAAACATAGATCTGTCATGAAGAGTGAATTCTCTCTCTCTCTCTCTCTCTCACACACACACACACACACACACACACACACACACACACACCTCTTTCAACTTTCCTACACTTTTTGTTATTTTATTGTTACTTAGATGGGCACCCTCAGGTTTGTTTGGCACTGTTAAGAATAAAGTAAATCTCCTTCTCTACCCTCCCACCCCCCCCCTCCATTTTAGTTTCTTCCAGTTACTAACTTGATGTCTGTGTAGTCCTCCAAGAATGACAACGTGGCGGAGGAAGGGGACTAGGGGACCCTTTTGTCCCTTTTAGAGAGGGAGGAGAAGAGAGAGAAGTTGTGCTGCCTGACACCTGACTGGTTAAGAATTGGCTGCCTGGATATAGGTTTGGGCTTTTCTTGTACCTTTCTCCTTTGTTCCTGCCTGTCTTCCATGGCCTGAGACATTTGTGAGTGGAATCACTAGGAAAAAGTCTGCAGTGCTGGTTGGGGGCACTTACGGGGTTTGCATTTGTACAAGCAGCTACACCAGTTGGTTTAAAGGTGGACTGTAATAGGAGAGGAGCACAGGGGTCTGCCAAACTCTGGCAGTGGTGTCTAACTATGGCAGTGGCATCTATGTGCTGTGGCATCTATGTGCTATGGCTGCTGCTGCAAAACAACTGCTGGTCTTTCTGATCTCCCCAGCAGTGTGCATTTCAAGTATGTTGTGTTTGGGAGTGTGAATATGCATTCATATATGTGTGTGTGTGTGTGTGTGTATTCATACATCCGTATACATTTTTTTTTATAAAGAATCATGTGCATATGTATGTGCATATGTGGTGTTCTTTGGTGGCATCTTGGATCTAGAAGAGACCTCAGGAGATCACAGGAATTCAAAATCTC